CTGGATTAAGTAATTGTAAACCATGAGTCTGAAATCTATTGTAATCTTGTTCAGGATCTATAAGTTCTTCTATATTCTGATTATACTGAGGTTGTCTATGTAATATTCTTTCTATAATATTTGTACTTATATTAGAAGTACTATGTCTACCTCTATCATAAGGTTCTGAAGATGATCCTACTTCACTAATAGTTCTTGATCTTCCAGGAAAATTATTCATATTTATAAAATGTAGTATATAATTTTCTAGTTATTTTTTCTTTACCAGTATTTTTTAAACTTAATTTATCTAAGTTATTTATTATATTTTCGATGTCTTGATTTGGTTTATTTTCTATATTATTTAATTTTTTATTTATATTTTCTATTGCTTCTGTAGTCTTAAGATCTGGAAATTTTTCTTTATCTTCTGCTCTAAAAATTTTATTTAAAATTGTTAAATTTTGTTCTTTAATAAAATCTAAATTTTCACGGATTTTATTAATATCTTTCTCAATATTAAAAATTCTTTTGCTTAAATTACTAATTTCTCCAGTTAATTTATTATTTTCTTTTACTAAGATATCCAGTTTAAAGATTTAATCTGAATAATAAAAAGAGTCTAATTAAAAATTTGTATGATCTGATGAATAATTATAATCTAAATTATCTAATTCAATTCTTAATTTAAGATCTGAAATAAAGATCTGATCAAAATTATTTATAAAATATTCTTCTCTAAATTCTGAAATTAAAGATCTATATAAAATCTGTTCTTTTAATTCTAAGTGTAAATTTTTAGTTACTTGTAATATAGCAAATAAATAATCTATAGATTTATTCTTTTCTAAAGAAACTAATTCTACACCGTATTCAAAAATCTCTTCTATTTCTTTATAAAATGTAAAACTATAGAATATTTTTTCTAAATCTACAAGTAAAATTCTAAAAATCATAAAACAAGTAAATATATTCTAAAAATTTACCTTTACTAAGAATCTGAATAAGTATGCCTGAAATCACCAGCACCGGAACTATTGCTCTGATACCAAAAAGAGGGGGGGTCCTGAAATGAGGGTTAATATTTCAAAGATTTGGAGGCTGTTATAGGAGGTTGATATAAGAAAATTCTACTCAGTACTCTTCTTAATTGAAGTTTTCTTCTTCTTTTGATTATCATAATATCCCTTTTTTTTTCTTTTTTTTTTTTTAAATTTTAAAACATGCCATCTGAGATATATGAACTTGGGCCTAACTCCATTCTTGCAAGGACACCACTGGCACTCCCTTAACAAGAATTCTTAAAACAGTGATCCCTTTCCCTCTTCTATGCGTTTCCTAGCCTCTCCACTGGGCCTTTACGCTTTTAGAGGTCACTCAGGGCTTATTTTAAAAACAGTTTTAAACTTTTAACTTGGAGTTAAGACATGCTTTTATCATATAATCAGCATGAAGCATAAAATTCTTTACAAGAATAATAAAACTTTATAAACAACGACTGTTCTTAAAAGATCTGGAACTAATATTAACTATTAGCACCATATCTTAGAACTATAAACATACCTACTGGAATGATCCATCAGTAGTTTAAAAATAAAATATTTTTGTGGGATATTATTCTATCTAAGAATAAGAACAATTAAGAATTTCCCTTTCGGGAAGGAAAGAAAATTAGAACATATTTGAGAGAACTCAAAACTTTGTATTGTATGTATTTTCTTGTGTGTCTACAAATGAAAGAATGATCTCCTTATATAGGAGAAAAAAGAGAGAGGAAGCGTTTTTTAAAAAGCAAGGAATCTTTGCTTTTTTCAAAACGTCAAAAAGAAAACAGTAAAAAGCTATACTATCAAATCTTACTTTATAAAACAGTAAGATTCTTTACAAATTTTTTCAAAAAGAAAACAGTAAAAATCTACTTTTCGTACAATAATTCTTGATATTTCTTGAATCCTGAACACAAAAGTCTTGAAATGATAAAGTTTGATCTGAAAACTCTTGTCTTTTTGCCAAATGTCTGAAAAAGTCCTTATCTTGTTGCATAATTGTGTCTGCCAATACTGTCTAAAGAATCTCCTCCGTCAGTACATCCTTCTGGATTATCTTCTTCTGAAATATTGTCTTCAAAATCATTCAAGTCTTTTTCTTGTTCAACCTTCTTTTTACCTTTATTTTTCTTTTTAATATGTATTTTCTTTTTCTTTGTAGTACTTTGTTTAACTTGTTGCTGTATTTCTTCAATCTTATCAAACATTTCTTTGATTCTTCTAATATCTGATTGAGAAATCTGTTCTGGATCTTGAGCTGATTGAAATGAATCCGAAAAATTAATTGGGCTTTTCTGTTTAAGGTCTATTGGGCTTATAAGTCTAGTAATAGAATTTCCAGTCTGCTGTGTCTGATCTTCAGAAGTATTTTTATTTTCTGTAACAGGATTTTCAGCCTGTTGAGTCTGATTAAATTGAAAAGTAGGGGAATCAACAGTCCCCTGAGTCTGTTGAGCTTTTGGTAAGCCCAGAACCATAAACGGATTTGATAAGTCTTTACCAGCTTCCGTTTGAGCTGGACTAGCTATAGAATTCTTGGGCTCTATAGTACCTGCTTGTGTCTGA